GTGTCAGACTACACTTACCATGTGCCATTTTCTTCATTTACAAAGACAATTTGATTTGACGACGTTTAAAAACAAACTGAAATATTAAAGCAGATTTACACCAAACGAGACATTTTTGTTTGTTTCTTCTTCATAAATAAAGATACTGTAGAAACCTTAAGTGGTCCGATGATGAAAGAAAACAGCTGACTTGAAACAGAACCCCGCCCCAAAACATGACATCACACAGTCAGTGAGGATGATGATGGTGGCGTTTACCTTCACGGTGAGGAAGACAATGTTATCAAACTCTTTGACGAAGCCGCCGACTTGCTGACCGTCCACATCTTCGTAGATCCACGGACGCCTCTGGACTTGCACCTGAGACACAGGTAAGCACACCTGAGAGTCAGCTTATAGATCAGGTTACTTTGCGGAGGAAAACTCAATAAGATCTGAACTCCACCTGCTGCTGCAGAGACTCCACAAACCACTCGTCGCCCATGAAGTTGCACGCCATGTCCACGTCGCCATTATACACGAGGATGCGATACTTCTGCACAGAGAACACAACCGTCAACACCTTCCAGTCCATATTAGACAGGTGAAACAGGTGAGTCCTGTTAAAGGCTGGAAACATTTACACTGGGGGAAAATTTAAATTAAAAATAAATAAATAAATAAATAAAAAAAATGGGCGGAGCTTCACTGACTAGAGCGCCGAGCAGCTTCAGGTACTGTTTCCTGACATCCATGTAGAGCCGACCGTAGTTCCGGTTCACCTCAGAGCTGCGAGCGCAGAGCGGAGAGTCAGTGAGTCAGCACAGGTGAGGTGGACAGGTGAAACAGAGGTCAAGTGTGTGCCTGTGTTACCTGCAGATGACCCAGTCCAGAGCTTTGGGGCTGATGTGGAGGGCTTTTCTGACCAGCGGGTTGTTCAGGTACAGGTTGGAAGGGGTGGAGTTGGTGCAGGGAGGGTCCAGGCGGACAGACGGGAGCAGCGCCGCCAGACTTTTGACTTTCTAAAGTGAGAGAACCACCTGTTCAGGTGAGCGCTTTATAGATACTGTTTGGATCATCGGGTGACCTGAACTCACCTGCATCCACAGCCGGTTCCACTGATGGTGAATGAACGAGTTTCCCAGATCTCGGATCACCAGCTGGCCTCGCTCGACACTGACAACAAACAGGAACACACCTGTTTGAGCGCCATACGTGCTGCAGGTGAGCTCACGGACAAAAAAAAAGATCACAGGCCGAACGTTAAAAGGCCACAGCTCACCTGAGTCTCTGCGGGACTCCACCTGGGCAGGAAGCGTACAGGTTGTATATGTTCAAACCTGAACTGTAGACGATGGTCTGAACCTCCCCCACCTGCAGAGGAAACGGGCAACACCTGAGACATAAAACCAGAGAGCCTACAGGTAGACGTCGGGTGCACCGCAGGTGAACCGGGTCGTACTCACGCTGTCCATGCAGTTCTGGTTCGGGTTGTCATAGAAGTTGCATTTCCCGTTGCTGCAGCAGTAGGTCTGAAGCACCGCCCACAGGTGGCTGCCAAGCAGGCCGTGGTAGTAGGCGAAGTACACCAGAGAGTTGTCGTTCATCTCGTAGCTCGACATTCCATTCCCCACGGCGATGCCCTGCACCACAGGTGAGTCGGGTGAGGCAGGCATGAGGAGGCTGCTGATGTTTCCACAGCCTGAATATGACACGCCTGTTTTTACCACAGGTACACCTGTCTGCAGCTCAGGTGGGACACCCATTGATCACATGGTCTAAAAGCAGCACGTCACAGGTACACCTGTCTGTAGTGTTTTCTAATGATGTCACCACAGGAAGCACGTTCAAAGTGAACAGTGTCACCACAAACTCAGGTAAGAACAGATCTTTTTAATGCTTTGAGTGAGTTTTTCTGTGATCTGTAAAGAAGACTGCTACTAATAACAATAATAACACTGAATGGAAAGGTGGAGGCTTTATCCAGGTTTGGAGCAGCAGCCTGAGCAGAGAAGCCCAGACCTCCCACACCTTGGCCACCTCCTCCAACCCACCTGAGCAACATTGAGGCGTTCAAAGACCAGCCGAGAGAGTGATCTCTCCATCGTGTCCTGGGTCCGCATCACCTCGCCTGCCTCGTTTTCATGTGGAGGTAGCAGCTCTACTCCGAGTTGCTCTCCAGTGACATGTCTCTAACCCACACTGCACAGAAGCTCATTTCAAACCTCAGAGCTCGCACGCATGCGCGCACACGCACACGCGCACATACATACATTCTCCCCCCCCCAGTGGAAGCAGTAACGCTGTGCAGTCTTTGGAAAGCCATTTTCACAGGTGCATCAGGTATGATACAAACCACTGCAGTGCAGTACCTGTAACACCTACAGCATGTTCTAATCACTCTAATAGGATATTATGGTCGACAGTATCGAACGCTGCACTGAGGTCTAGCAGGACAAGCACAGAGATGAGTCCACTGTCAGAGGCCATAAGAAAATCATTTGTAACCTTCACTAAAGCTGTTTCTGTGCTGTGATGAGCTCTGAAACCTGACTGAAACTCTTCAAATAAGCCTCTGCAGATGATCTGTTAGCTGTTTGACAACTACTCTTTCAAGGATGTTTGATATAAAGGAAGGTTGGAGATTGGCCTATAATTAGCTAAGACTGCTGGGTCTAGAGATGGTTTTTGAGTAAAGGTTTAACTACAGCCAGCTTGAAGGCCTGTGGTACATAGCTAATTATTAGAGATAGGTTGATCATATTTAAGATCGAAGCATTAATTAATGGCAGGACTTCTTTGAGCAGTTTTGTAGGAATGGGGTCTAAAAGACACGTTGATGGTTTGGAGGAAGCAGTTACTGAAGTTAACTTCAGAACTGTTACCTGCTGTGTGTCAGGTGCGTCATTACCTGCAGGTTGAGGCTGGCGTCCTCCATCACTCTCTCAGCGAGCGTGGGGATGTAGATTCCTCCGTAGCTCTCTCCGGTCAGGAAGAGCTCATTCTTGCTGTACTCTGGAAACAGGCGGAAGAACTCCTTCAGGGCCAGGTAGTTGTTCATCGACACCTGCAAAGAAAAAGAAAAAGCTGAACACCTGACCTCCGGGCAGCCAACCGGCAGCTGAGTCACTGAGGGTCACTGACCTCTGTGTCATTGGTGGCGTATTTCTGATCGTCCGAATAAGAGAAGCCGACTCCTACTGGGGACTCCAGGTACAACATGTTGGTAATCTGCACACAGATAGTCGACCAATCAGCTTTGACCTCAGCCGTGCGACCTCAACAAAAGTCACATGACAGCATACCTTGTTCCAGGCATACGGGTTGTACTCCAGCGTCGCACCGTCGCTCTGGATCTGAAATGACAAAAGGTCAGAGGTCAGGTGTGGAGTCACAGTATACCTGTAGGGGTCAGGTGGGCAGAGTTCACCTACCAGGAAGGGTCCATGTTCGGTCAGCAGTCCGTCCAGCGAGCTGCAGCCGGGGCCACCATTCAGCCACAGCACCAGCGGGTCCGAGGACGGTTTGTTCTGCGACTCAACGAACCTGAGAACAGAAGAAGTGGTCAGCTGACGGTCAGGTGAGGCGTGTCTTCAGGCGTGTCTCAGGTACTGACCAGTAGTGCAGGTGTTTGCCGTCAGCCACACTCAGGTATCCAGAGTACTGCTTGAAGCTCGGCTGTTTCTGCAGACCTGGCAGGTACGTGATCTCGTCGGCCGCTGGGGCCGCTTCCACGCCGAGCCATGCGGACAGGAAGTAACATGACAACAGCAGCAGCTGCATCTGATAGCAGATAGGAAGTAAAAACATCCAATAAAAATGCTCCTCCTGAGATTTCACCTTTATAATACTGAGGTAACGTCCAGCAGCTGACGTCCACGTGTTCCTTTCACTTTTGTCACACGATCACATGACACACAGCACAAATGATGTCATCTCTCCTGCAGGACGTTACTGATTAGCTCTACTGTCAGTTTTACTGACTTTGAGCAGGTTATCACGGACAGATCACCAGAAACAAAACTGATCAAATGTGATTTCACAGAGCTGTCGGAGCCCTGCCAGAAAATAAAATAAATAACCCTAAAAAACCCAAACAAAACAAAAAGAAAGTAAAACTAAATAAAAAAAAGCAGGAGGCTGTCCTCAGCATCAGCCTTTCAGAAAGGAAACAAACTAGAAATTAAACCTCAGTGATGATGTTAAAGTTTTAAAAGGGTTTTTCATCACTCAGTTTTATTACATCCAACCCTGATTTTAAGAAAGCGAACTTAAAACGCAAAGTTCAAAGTTCACCCGTTCTCTGAGGTAAACCTGTAAAACACAGCACAGCAGGATCTCACACGCACACGTTAAATTAGGCAGAAATTTAAATGAAGACTGGTGGGTTCCTCTGACGGCCACGAAACACGTGATTTCAGCAGGAAGTGAGGTTTGTGTTCGCGGACTGATCACGAGACTTTCTGATTGGGGATCGATCAGAAGTCACGTGATTACTTTCCCGCTGAATGAACGAAAAGTTACGATTTGGTTGAAAAGTTGATTCTGTTCATCTGGACGTTTTACTTTCGGACGTGACTGAGCATGCGCCAAGAAAATTTACATTTGCAGTTTTTTGAACGGAGTTTGGCAGAAACACGCAGTTCGTGTCAGAATAACTGTTCAGCGACCGGAAACGGGTTTCAGTTTCAACACGAAACGTTTTCGACTCACAATCAGCTCGATTATCGATCAGAAAGCGATCAGTTTCTCAGAGTACTCGTTAACTGTCATGAAACAGAAGGCAGTGTGTGTGCGCGCCCCCTGATACTCTCTCTCTCACACACACACACACACACACACACACATTTTAAACCCGGAAACGGGGACTATCACGCGCAGCATCAACTTTAACGTCTTAAATCAGACAGAATCCAAACGGACCTCTGAATGGAGACCTTCCTCTTTCACTCACCTCTTCTCTACGCGTCCACCTGCTTCACCTGGGCTCCTGCTCTGCAAATAAATTGGACACACCACGGTGAAGGAAAACAGCAGGTCATATGACAGCGGCAGGTCACATGACCCCTCCCTCCCCTCGGTTTTTTTTTTCCAAACTTTATTTGTAGGGTTTTTTAGGATAACCTTTTTTTAAATTAACGATTAAGAACAATACGAATACAGACTCTCGAAGAGGATAAAACAGTAGAAGAACATTCAAAACAACAGAAAGAGCACCAGAGGGGTGTTAAAAGTGCAGAATAACAACAAAAACCTTCCAAGAGTCCGTAAATCCCTGTTACAGTGTTCTAAGTCGGAAGGCGGCCTGGCCCTACCAAACTTTATGTATTATTATTGGGCTGCCAATATTGTGACAATATCCACCTAGATGCAGGCTTTTAGGGAGGGCAGAGGGCCGCCTTGGTCCACTATGGAGCTAGACGGTCATCTCACTATATCCCCTGTTGCAATAATGTGTTCAAGTCTACCAGTCAGTCACAATGTTAATTTTAAAGATCCTGTGGTTAAGAACTCTCTCAATGTCTGGTTTCAGTGTCTGCTCCCCTGTTGCATCAAATCTTTTTTACCAGCTCTGAGCGATGCAGGGTTCAAGGTTTGGTACAGCAGAGGAATTATCTGCTTCTCTGATCTGTTTGTTAAAGGGTCATTTTTATCCTTTGAAACATTATCTAAAGATTTTGGAATCCCAAAGACTCACTTCTTTAGATACTTACAAGCCCGTAGCTTTGCAGTTAAACACTTCACTTCATATCCAAGTCTACCTAATGACTGTCCATTTGAGGATTGTCTGCAATTTCGACTTATTGCTAGAGGCCACATCTCTCAAATATATAGCACACTGCAGCATATAAAGGCAGACTCTGTGTCCACAGCCAGGAACGCCTGGGAGCTGGACTTAAACCTCCAGATCCCAGACGACCTATTGGACCTTAGTGTTAGCAGGATCCATGAATCCTCAATCTGTATACGGCATTGTATAATACAGTTTAAAATTCTTCACCGGGCGTACCTAACCAAAGCTAAACTAGCCAAAATATACAATACCTCTGATGATAGATGTCCGAGGTGCAAGCAATCACCCGCCACTATGAGCCATATGTTCTGGACCTGCTCTGATTTGAACTGGTTAAGTCTGGTTCTGGGAATTCGTTTTTAAAGCTCTTTCATATGTGTGTGGGAAAACAATTTATCCCAATCCGATGACAGCAGTCTTTGGTGTACTCCCAAACCAACACGGGATAACTTCTTATCAAATAAATGCAGTGGCTTTCTCATCTCTCCTGGCACGCAGGCTAATTCTTCTTAACTGGAAGGATTCAGGTCCGCCAGTGTTTGTTCAGTGGGTGAGAGAGGTGATGAGGTGCTTGCAGATAGAGCATTTGAGATACAGTTTGAGAGGGTCTCAAAGTAAATACTACAAAAGCTGGTCATCCTTTGTTGAATATGTGGAGAAGTTGTCATTTACTGAAGTATGATGTATTACTGCTTTTATCTGTGTTTGGGGGTTTTTCTCTTTCTTTCTTTAAAGCCACCTACTATCTGTAGCAAGCCGGAAAGAACTGCGCACAATGCAGCCCCCTTTTATTTATGTATTTATTTTATTCTATTTTTGTTTGTTTTGTTTTTTGGTGGGGTTTTGGTGTTTGTTTGTTTTTTTTGCCTTGTTCACATGGTAGTATTTCTTGTTTGTGTGCATAGATTATACATTTTCCTGCATCCAACTGGTTTGCCACTGCGTGGCACAACCGGTTTCACAATGGCAGTGTTTGTAATCGCAATTCGAGTTATATTTTTCTGTACTTTTCTCACATTGGAAAATCATAAATAAAGTTGACCAAAAAAAAAGTGCAGAATAAGAAAAAGGGAGCACAGGATAAACAAACAAACACTGGAGGCAAAGATGGAAACAGTAACAGATGACAAACACATCGTCTGATTTCAGTTTCTTTAGTCACATGATGTCTAAAGTCACTAATGAACCATGTGACGGACGGTTTACTATTTCTCCACTTGCTACAATGTATATGGTATTTACCTAATGTTAGTCACAGCAGAGATACGTGGATGTAAATGATCCGTATAGAAGGTAACATCAAATATATTAAACTGTGGTATGTCATTGACTTTCAGTGATAACCAGCTGTGCAGTTCTTTTTTTTTTAACTCCATTTTTATTTATTTTTAATGAGCAGTGATGGATCCCACACTTCCTCCACACAACTGTGCCCACATGTACAAGCAGACGCTCGCTCGCACAGGGCCAGTGTCCAGCTACAGCATGTTAAAGAAGGCAAGCATACATACATAGATACATAAGCACTCTTTGGCCTCATATGAGGCTAGGGTTGCCAACTCCCTGAAAAATAAATAAGGGACACCTCGTGGCCAGGGCCGGGCAACCCAGTTGCCTTCACCCTTCCCAGTGTGGTAGCTCTTTTTTTGTGTGTGAAATTATTTTTTAACCATTTGACTTGAACTTGATTTAAGCAGATGCATATTCTTTGTGATATGACCATATGGGAAACAAATGATCATTTAGCCATTTATTTTTAGCTCAAAATGACAACATTAACACATAAAACAGGTCTCTTTCTTAAACAGAAGCCTGTCATGCTTAACTTTTGAGAATATAAGTAAATCTTTCTTTAAAAGAACTCTGTCCTGCTTAACTTAAAATTATATAAATTAATAGAAAGCAATAGAACAAAAATATTCTTGTAACAGTGCACATATAGTGCATTTAGTACAATTGGCTTCAGCTGAGGTATTATTTCAGCTTTTCTAATGCTAATCAGCTGCTCCTGTTTGTAAACCCGCTTGTTCCCATGATTACGCATCATAACTCATCATCATTATTCATCTATGTATTACTTTTATGTATTAGTGATCTATTTGTTGTAATCATCTATCCTTGCAGTTGTTTATTACACAAAATAAATTATATTATTACACTTCTGGCCACATAGCGCTGATATTCACTGCACATGCCCATATTAACCTTAACCAGAGGGTTTAAACAACAAACCAGTGTTTACATACCATATCTGCTTCTGCCATGCCTGGTGGACAAGAAATTGGTTAAGGGTTCCCCGAGCTTTCACGCCCCTCGTGTTCTTCATGTGCCCACCATTAGAAGCATGCCTATGGAAAAAGTGCGCCAGCACACAGTGCAATGCGCTTTATAGTGCACTTTTCCAGCCAGGTGTTTTCCTTTTCCCATTCCTCCCTGTACTTTTGCAGCCTTTTTTTTTCTTTCTCTGAGCGAACAAACATTGCTGCTCTAATGCTGGGCTCACACTGTGCGATTTTTGGCCCATTTTGAGACTATTTTTGAGTGATCGGACCGATTTGGTGATCGGCCCGATTTTGGCCTTCATCGTGCATCGTGTAGTATACGTGGGGTAACGAGAAGCGATTAACACCTCACGACCAGCTCCCGATCATCAGTGTTGGGGAGTAACGGAATACATGTACTGCCGTTACGTATTTAAAATACAAAATATGAGTAACTGTATTCCGTTACAGTTACCGTTTAAAAAGGTGGTATTCAGAATACAGTTACTTTGTTGAATGGATTACACTGCGGTACTTTCCTGTTTCATTTTGTCGCGGGTCAGGACTGTTTGGGTTTTGTTTGACAGCTACGTTCTGTTGTTCCAGGCGGCAGGGTTACGGTTGCCATGGTTACAGGGCAACGCTCTCTCTCTCTCTCTGCGACTGTGTGTTTCCTGGGTGAGAGAGCGCCTTTTCGTTGTTGTTGTTGTTGTTGTGCTAAGCTAACAGGCAAAATGCTACAAGCATAGCTCTAAAGAATGTAGCATCATGGGCAGTGTAGTCCGTGTTGCAGGGAGAATGGACTGCCACACACGTTATGTGTCTGTGAGCGCGAGGAGGGAGAAAAAGGGGAGTGGAAAGGTACGAGTTGTCATCGAGGAAAAACGGAAGCTGGAAGCATCTAAATATAATAATTACTTCAGCCAATAAGAGTGCCTGACGAGCCCAGTTGTAAGTAAGCTATCCGGTTGTTCAGTGATGACGCGACGAATCCTACTTCCGGGTCTAAAGTAGTCTGCGTTTAATATGGCTTTTGTGTTGTTAACATGTTTAATGTTTTGTATTTTCTTCTATTTGATCTCAAAAAGCTCCTAAAACAGTCAGTGATCACTGTTGACCTCCCTCGGCTTTTATTACCGCTAATCATTTATTTAAGCTCAGTTTTTAAAACCTTACGATGTAACTACAGCCCAGCCCATGCAGCAGTATATGAATGACTAACCTCGTATTGTGGATGGATTATCTCAGTTGTTCTCCTGGCTGAAGTTTGGTCCTTTTACAGCATCCTGCCATGCGATTACATTTGTTCCTGACCACCGAGAACACTCACGTCAACTTTTATCAAGTGGAAAAAAAGTTAGCTTGTTTATATTGTAACGTTCACAAGAACCAGACGGTTGGGGTCTCAGTTTGTCCGTTTATTCGGCACATAAGCCAGCGGGTTGTTAACTCAGGGGGAAGCACTCTCGAACTACACCTCTCTTCAGCCTGGCACACACACAGAACAACCAGGTCCCCCCACCCCTTCCTGTACACCACCCTCACTACTTCCTGCAGCCCAACCAAACATGAATCTTAAAGGAACAACAACAGTGTGCAGAGAAAACCAACATGTCACTGTCCAGTAACACTTAACCATCGTTACACTGCCCCCCCAGCAATAAGTTCCTCGTCCCCGAGGGAACGACACAGTCTCTGAGGCGGGGCGGTAGCCTACGTTCCCTCCTTGACCTCCTGAGCCCCTGAGGAGGACGCGGAGCTTCGGGGCTTTGGGGTGAAGAGTCCGAGGGGGGGGAACGCAGCCCCGGTCGGGGGCCCCTCTGAGCAGGGTCATGGACGCTCTGTACACGTCCCTCTGGAAAGGAGGGGAGGGACTGTCCTCTGTAGGGGGCCATCCGGTCTCTGTGCAGCGCTACTATCCTCCCCCTAGGAGGCAACTGCACCCTGTAAACAACCTCCCCCACTCGCTCTAGGACGCTGCAAGGCCCCACCCAGCTGCTATCC